GTAACTGGTTGAGCTCTGTGGCCTGTGTAGTACAGGTCAGGCTAGACCTGTCCCCTCTACCCTTAAACTCTGTGCATAAGTGGAGAGGAGACAAAGCATCTCTCCCTCGCGAGGCAGCTCAGATCTCCCCATGCTCTCCCCCTTCTCTTCCCCTTCTATTGCCATTTCGCCCACACGCCTTCCCGAGCTGCACACAATACACAACTGGTTGAGCTCTGTGGCCTGTGTAGTACAGGTCAGGCTAGACCTGTCCCCTCTACCCTTAAACTCTGTGCATAAGTGGAGAGGAGACAAAGCATCTCTCCCTCGCGAGGCAGCTCAGATCTCCCCATGCTCTCCCCCTTCTCTTCCCCTTCTATTGCCATTTCGCCCACACGCCTTCCCGAGCTGCACACAATACACAATAATGGCCTGTTTCTCCAGCCTATGCATTTTTGGCTGTCGTGTGATCAAGCGCTGGATACTGACAGGCCCACCAGCAATGCTGAGCTACTGTCCCCTTCCCCTGCCACCAGAGCTCCTTTACTAAGCCCCATGAATCATTCTCTCTCTCAGCAATCTCCCTGCAGTGGGTCAGCATCCTCCTGCACGGCCCTGGGAACTAAGCTTCTTCCTTTTTGGCTCAGAGAAGAAGGGCCAGGTCTGGTCCTTTCCGCTCTACAATCAGAGATACAATAGATGCATAGGAAGGAACCACAAGAGGCATGGGCAGTGGGTGAACCCAGGGCTTGGGAGGCTAGCCCCTGCCCGAGGGCTCACCCCCCCTGCCAAAGCCAAGAAGCCTCCCATCATGAAGCCACCAGCCTCCTGACCCCCAGAGCACCAGGCAGGCGGCATGCCCCCCCCCTACCCGCCAGCTTGCCAGGCAGTGTGCTCTCCCCAGCCTTGCAATTACAGGGCCAAGCAGCTGGCACTTCAGCAGGGTGTATCCTCCAGCACCAAACATCCCCGCTAGCCCCAGCCTTGGGCCCCAGCCATGGGGAACAAGCCCCCGGCCCGGCAGCAAAGCACTGCTGGGAAATAAGAAGAGGCCAGGGGCTGATCATACAAGGCTGTTTGAGGCAGCTTCGTTTTCCCCTGCTTTGGATATCTGCCACTCACAGCAGGAGAGTTTCTAGTCCTGTCCCCTACTCTGAGACAGGACTGAGTATTATTTAGCCCATCCCTGACAGGTTTCTCTAACCTATTCTTAAAAAAAACAAAACTCTTCAATGTGAGAGATGCCACAATCTAGGTAATCTGATCTAGTTTTTAATGACACTGAGAAAAGGTTTTCCTAATGGCTAACCCTAAACCTCCCTTGCTGCAATCATTTGCTTTCAGAGGCTGTAGTGCCATGGTTCCCAAATGACCCCTTTGGCATCTTACTAAGGCTACATCTACCCTACAGCCTGGATCCACTCTCTGAGATCCATGTATTGGCAGTCAGTTTAACAGTTCTAGTGAAGACCTGCTAAATTACTCTCTTGTCAACCTGTTACTCTACCCTGGGTGAAAACAGTAAGGCTATGTCTACACTGGCAGGATCTTGTGCAAGGGTTCTTCTGCAAGAAGTCTTGCGCAAGAAAATCATCCACACTGCCATGTGCCAGCTGTGCTTTTGCGCAAGAGCTCCCATGGCAGCGTGGACGCTCTCTTGTGCAAGAAAGCTCCGACGGCCATTTTAGCCATAGGGCTTTCTTGCGCAAGAAATCCCTGCCCAGCGTCCACACTGCCCTCTTGCGCAAGAGCTCCTGCACAAGAGGGCTTACACCTGATAAAAAAAGAGCATAACTCTTGAGTAAGGAGCCCTCTCTTACCGCACCGTACTGTAAATTTCCTTGTGCAAGAGCGGGCGAGCACTGTGGACGCTCTGCAGATTCTTGCACAAGAACGGCCGTACTTGTGCAAGGAGCTGTGAGTGTAGACATAGCCTCAGGGAAGTCGACAGGAGAGTTTCCTTCCACGGTGTAGAGCCCACGGTAACTTGACGTAAAGTACATCAACACCAGCTATCTTATTCTTGCAGCTGACGTGGCATAGCTTCAGTTGACTTCCTGCCGTAGTGTAGATGAGTCCTAAGTGTCCCGGACCCCTAGCATTTCTGGTACTACTGGAACAGCCCCACCAGCAAGAACTCTCATGCACGGTGCGTGAGAAGTCAAGCTGTGCAGAGGGTACCATTTTGAAAATAAAATGGTGTCCTCCAGGCAACAAAAATGCAGGAGTGCTGTTCTGGCACATCCTGACCCTGGCTCCACCACTCAGAAATGAGGGTTAGAAATGCATAGCTGAAAGGTCTGGAGGTGAGGACCTAACCACTCACGCCCATACGCAGGTGGGGTGGGGGGATGCAAAGGGTGCAAATGCACTCCCCCATGGTCCTTCATGGTCTGCCCCAGCCTCCTTCCCCCGTGCTCCAGCTGGCCAGGGAAAGATAGAAGCTGCACGCTGCCAGACTTCCTCCCCCATGCTCCAGCCAGCACAGGGGATAGAGGCTGGGAGCGCACTGCCCCCGCTTTCCTCCCGCTGGGGCCGATTCCCCCCTTCCT